TCAATCAATGATAAACTATCACTTTTTCAGTTATTAATGAGAGAGATTACTTTGTTGACCAAACTATTACTTTTAGCAAACTATTACTTTTTCGATTGACAAGATAAAAAAACATCATCTTGACACGCATAACGCCCTTGATCCTTTTCTTTTTTGCCAACACTTTTAATCTCTAACTTATTTTGTTATAAACATGTGTTGTTTTATATAGTTCACTCTCTTTATAACGACGAACCTTCCGTCCCATATGTGATTTTCCTGCCATTGTTTGTTATAGAAAGAGAAATCATTGAATTCGGTGACAAAGGCGAAGTGAGGTTTTACTTAGCGTCGTTATAGAAAGAGTGAACTGTAATAAGATAACAACAACTGAAAAAAAATTAATTACTTTTCCCATTATTACCATAGACACAACTCAATTGGTATTGCACTGTTTAATTATATATAAATTTTTTGTTACGAAATTTTAAATATTCAAATAGGTAAGTAAACGACAAATTAAAAAAGTTTATTATAAATGTCACCGTGTTATAACAATTTTGCTATATTAAAAACGTCTTTTGTAAAAATAACAATTCACACCTTCAAAAAAATACAATAAATCAATAAATCAATCCACTAATAAAACGAACGAGTATTTTTCTCTTCCATTATTAAAAAGAGAAATAATATTACAGTTACATATAAATGAAAATAAATAATTGAAAATTATCAAGTTATTGTTATTATTAATAATTATTTAGCAATACCAAAACCTCCAACGGTTTTAGCGAAAGATCTTGCCTTAATATTTTGTTTTTTCAACATTAATTCTACAATGCTTCCAATAACATATAAAATAGTAGTTAAAGCAATCAAAATAACAAACAATGAATATTTTTTAATCCAACCAAGGAACCCTTCATCGTTTGCTGATGGTGGTGATGATGATGAATTTGGATCTGGGTTATTGGGGTTTGTAGGTGGTGGTGTTGAGGATTTACCATCTTCCAAATTGAATGTAACATCTTGCAACGAATACCAAGTTTTAGACTTTTCCACCACTATGGCTCTAACTGTTACACTACCAGTTTTAGCTCCGGCTGAAGACGACCAGTTGAATTTCAAAGGAAGTTTCTTAACAGTTTTGGAGGTGTGTGTTACGGCACTGGGGTCGCTATTACAAGGTTGGAATGCGGGATCAGCTATATTAAATTTACCAGTTTTAGTATTATCTGCAGGATTCACTACGTAAAGTAGTAAAC